GGCAACTTAAAACCAAATATAAACCGAATTTAGGGGTTCGGACGTGGTGTTTTTTAATTGGGGAGTGCTTATTAATAGGTACTCGGGATTACTAGGACGCTACTAGAAACGGGATGCAGGATAGTTCACGCTTCTTCAAGGAAGCTGGGTGCACTGATGATTTGGCTTCTAGATGTTTAGGGAAACTGGTCGAAGCGTGATGGCCAGGCTTTACTTTGGAGCAGCACTGGTGCGCCAGGACCAGTGAGGAGGAGAGATGTTCGACACGCACTGTTAATTGAGCTGGGCACATTGCTTGATCAGGACCTATTTTGCATTATTTTGCACTCAACCTTAAATATCCTTAAATGCTTAGTGCAGCATGAATTTGTTTGATGAAAGTCTTGGCCAGTCTGATGCTTGTTTTTTTGCTGTTATTTGGATCAGAAAGCCTGAACTGGACACTGAGAATTTGTAGATTTTTTTGAGATATGTGAAGTCTCTACTGTTGGATTTGTTGAATTCGATCGCTGCGCAGCTTGCAAATTGACTCCAAAGCTCCATCATATATACTCATAACACATCATAATACGCCGAAACTGGGTAAATAATCCATGCAAATACTGTGTCTCCCAGGTACAAAGGCATGTCCCCAATGATGAAGGCGCCCACTTCAGTCATCATGTTGACGACCGAAGCCACGTCGTCCGAAGCTGCATTGGGTCCTTCACGTTGGGTCCAGAAGGTGCCGGTCTACACGATCCTGGGGACCTCTGTGGCCTTTGCTGGAGCACCCAGTGCGGTCGCCACCGAACCGGTCTGGGTGCTGGCGGCTCCAAACCGATTGGTTTCAGTAGCAAGCACCCCCAAACACGCACACACAGCGCCAGTTTAAACTTGGGAACGCTGGGAGATAAGAGCAGGTTTCGGGTTAGCCCAAAGCACTCACGTACGTCACAAGTCTTCTTGAGGTCATGGCAGCAGCTAGAAAGGAAAAAGAACTGGGACAGGCGGCCGATACACGTGGTTGACTGTTTGCAGGGAAAACAACAAAAAGGCTACCAGCAGTGACGCAATCCCTCGCCTTGGGGCTCCCAAAACACACCAGATCATCATGCACATGAAGTTAAGCCAACCTTTCAAACATACGGGTGGCCACATGGTCGGGTGGCCGGTGGCCGTGTGGCCCGGTGGCCGGGTGGGTGGAGGTGGTGGGAGCACCGTAGCCGCAAAACCTGCTCCTCACTCCGAAACCTTTGTGCAAGGCAAGACTTTGGGACATCACCACATCACATGAAATCTCCACTTCAAAAGATTGGTAAACGTCCGATCTTCTGAAGGAAAAGCTAAAAGCGCGGACCACCAAAACAGTAGAACCCTTTCAAGCCTGCGCCGAAAAATGGGCAAGTTCCAGAACTCCCGCAGTGCCAACCTCAAGATGCGCAGGATACCAACGGCACCACAATTCTGCAGTGCCACACTCTGCAAGGATTGTACACCCCTGTGCTACCTTGGTGTGGCGCAACTCCAATCCTTGAACTTGTAAGAAACACTTGTAGCCAGTGGGCCAGGTTGTGCAAGCAATCTCTTGTGCCATGCATCACAGCGGCCAGGCCATAGAATCCACATGATCCCTATATAGATAGATAGAAAGATAGATACTGTAGATAGATAGAGATATCCATATCTGTAAGAAAGACGGTATGTTTCTGCTGCTTTGGTTGACCGAGGAAGGCAAATTGTCAGAGCTGGAACCGGGACCACCTTGGACTTTTATCTTCGGCCGAGGCCCTCACCTTCTCAGTGGTGGATTTGGTGAACTATGTGCTGGGCTTCTTGCAGGTTGGGATCGGTATCCATGGACGAAAACGATCACATGATTATACATAGAAACTATATTCACATGATTAAATGCAAGTAATTTGATCTAATTTGATCATCCCTATTACACGGGTTTTAGACCATCGTTTCATCTTGAATGCTGCGGGGCATTACTCACAGGGATGCCTTGAGACCTTTCTATAGAAGACACTGTTGGGAAACTTTGGGATTGTAGATCTTGAATGTTATTCCGGGAAACCATTTAATAGACAGAAAGGTGGATTTAAGTTAATATTAATTCCACTGTAGAAGCTGAGATGTTCTTTGCGCTATTTACCACTCTATGTGCCTGCGCACTTTATAGTAGACTGCTGAAATTCCCTTTGTATGTGGTTTCACATTTTATAGTGTCCATGGGCCTTCATGTTCATTGATTTGATAGCGTTTTTTGTCTTGACACATGTTTGATTTATTTCTCTACGAAACAACTGACAAACCACCCAAACCAACACCCACAGGGGACACACATACATATTGTATAGTTTAATATACATACATTACGAAAGCCAGCCGATAGGCTAGGCTGGAGTTGTCGATGGGCGAACAAAATGAGTATTAGGGTGTGTGGGGTGTGTGGTTGCATAGGGGAACAATTTGGGTAGGGCAAACCCAGAGTCTGGTGGGGAGAGCGCAAAAACGAGGCAGTGAAAATATATGGTTTTTGGGGTGTTGTGATACAAGTGATGTAATTGACGCCGAAGAGTGCATCATTAGCATTATTAGGGGTCAAGATGCTATTTAAGCCGTCTTTCGACCAGGGGTGGAAGTTCATGTCGAGGACAGGAAATAGGGGAACGTGACAGGAAAAGAGGTCGGAAATTTTCTAGGAAAGTGAGATGTGCGTCTCTCAACCCTCTGCTTTCCTTTGGCTAATATGAGTAGAAGGGACTGCAAGAAACGATGTGACCCGTTGAGGACAGGAGAGGGAACAGAATGCAGTCAGCAACTGGGGGTGCCCCTTTTTAATGGTGTAGAGGTTTGCTGACCACATGCAGAAGGGCACCCCATATGGGGTGGGAGTTCATGTGGAGGACAGGCATAGGCCCCCGACCTATGTATTCTCCTTTCGATTTCTACCACCAGTCGGCGTGGCTGCAATGTTGACTTCACCCATAACAAAGGTACTCTATGCCCGATGTTAGACAATCACTTGATCTTGGCAGTAACATCGGTCCGCTCTTGGCAGCACGCCGAGTTTATGAGTCCACAAGCGGTGCCCCTCAGTTCCTTAGGGGTGCCCTGTTTCGGCTTAAAAACGCTCTTGAACCAAAGGAAAAGGGCACCCCCCCAACCTATGTATTCTGCCTTCTATTTCCAACAGCAGTAGAGGAGACGTCACGACTTCCCTCGATAACAACGGCAATCCTTCCCCGAAGTTAAGCAATCACATGATCTTGGCAGTAAGCTTTCATCGGTCCACTCTTAGCAGCACGCCGAGTTTATGAGTCCATCTACAAGACAAGAGAAACAAACAGCAGGCAAGCGCCCCTCAGTTACTTAGGAGTGCCTTTTTAATATTGAAAACGCCCTTTGAACCAAAAGAAAGGGGGCACTCCGCCCCCCCCTGTGAATGAGAGCCTGTCATGTCGGCCCTTACTGCGAGACTTCCCACCTCTGCCTTCTATTTCCCCATGCCTGACAGCGGTTCCACAGCGCTGTCAACTTCACCCCCATAACCAGATTGAATCATATTGATGTCTTCTTACGGAGGCTGGCTTTCGTCCCCTCCCTTCTCAGGTACATTTAAGTGTTATGTATATATGTATCTTTCTCTGTATATATATATACTGTATACATTTGTATATAACGTAATGTGGCAACACGATGCAGTTGTTCATGCCTTGTCATGTCAATGTGCTCACACCGATGTCCTGTCGCAATGTCTCCAGTTGGGTCGTCTTGTTCTTAATAGCAAAAATGTTCCTAGTAGTATGGCCAGCTGCCCCTAGTATCGATGCCAGGAGCCCCTAGTAGCGTCCTTGCTCCTAGTAGTAAGGTGTGGGCTGTGGTCCGCTTGATTCAGCAGATCAGACACTTGCACAATTGTGTCGGACTGGAGTCCTTTGTACTGTGACGACGAGTGAGCAACGTATTGATATGGTATGTAAGGTATGTAATTGAACTGTCCATTTTGCAGTTTGTGGCGAAGCAGATCGAGTTGGTATAAGGGAAACATGGTGCGGGCACGTGGGACTGTTGAGTTTGAAGAGCTGTACACATGGTGAAACCCTGTCCTGCATGGCAACCGATTGAACATTAGCGATATGCACAGTCTCCTGGTTGTTTTGCTGCTCAACAATGAAAACCGTGAGCTCAAGTGTTCCATCAGTGACAGACATGAGTATATTAAACAAGGGTTTCTTTGTTCAAGGAGTTCCTTTACAAAAGGGAATTCCTCAAAGTGAAAGAACACTTCATCGTGCCTGCTGCGTAAATCATGTGCCGTGCAAGTAGAATATCAGTGGGAGGAAAACTAGGCGAAATACCGGCGGAGGATCATTTTCGAGAACCAGTACTGTATATGTATTATGTGTATATTATGTATATATATATTATATATTAAAAAACACAGCTCTAGCAATATTGCTTAATTAAGTGTCCACTTGAATGGCTGATTGCGCCTGATTTGGAAGATCGTCCTCATATCTTTACATTTCAATCACTTGGCCCTTTTGTTGCCTTGGAAGAGCCTTCTTCGCAGACTTGAGTGACTTGAGAGATGGTTTCGCATGGAAAAAGGCACGGGTCAGAGATAAGCGAGTTCCTTGCCGATGTGCTAACTGCATGGGACATACCCAGTCTTGAAGCCGGCTGCTTTTCAGATTCCCTGAAACGTGATGTTGATATTGTGCTGTCACAGATCGCGTCTTCAACAGAAGCACGGCAGGAAGGAGTGCTGAAAGTCCTGCAGACTTTGGTGGGGCGTCGGCTTCTAATTTGCCCAGAAGCTTCCCCGATTCCAATCTACAAATACCATGAGCATGACCTGGTGCCTGTTGCTGAAAAAGTGCCTGCGCCATACGAGGTGCACTTTGTTTCTATAGAGCTCGTGGGCTCACAGGGACAGATGACGCAAGTCCCAGACTCTGATTTGGATGCTGCAGCAGTCCTGGAATTGGTGGGGTCTGGAAATATTGCGGACATCAAGGAGGAGTTCTTTCAACATGGCCACGAAGAATTGCGAAAGGCCCTGATGGCTTGGCTGCAAGAAACTCCTAATGTTCAAGTGCATAGCGAACACAAACTGATTGACAAGTCTCGGGTTGCGTGCACTATTGCTGGCATGGAGGTGGACGTGTTGCTGGCCCTTGCTCCTCAACATCTAAGTGCTGATGACGTCCGTATGCTAAAGCCTGGCGTGTGGGTCAAGTCATATAGTTTGAAGCTGGTCCCAAGAATAGGCATTGTGTGCAGGTAGTAATGGCGTGCATAGAGGGCGGACCGGACCAGCCACACCCTTCCCCTTATAACTGTTCTTGAGGGATATTCTTGTTTAGACGGCCTAGTGGTCAGGAAAATGACAAGTAAACACATGTAAACGCTACATGATGATGTAGTTGTGCGTTGTGACTTAGGACGTGTTTCTAGGTTCCTTCCACACGCAGTGCAACCCTTGAGCCCAGGAACTTGCAGAAAACTCGCTGGGTAGCAACTCAAGAACCCATAGTCCGGGATGCCACCAGGCTTCTCAAGCTTTGGGCACGGACAGTGTTTGATGCAGAAGCAAACGAAGATGAAGAGGAACTAGTCAAAATCAACACCTATGCGCTCACACTGCTACTGGCTGCCTTACATCGGTCCTGCTTGGGAGTCTCTGCCCTGGAACTTTGCACTCGGGTGTGGCGTGTTTTATCCTCACTGCGCTTTGACCTCTTGGCGGTGGTCAGCTTGATGCAGACTTCTTTGCCAGGCTCTCACGTGGCCCACGCTTTCACCACGAATTGGCGATGTTTCTCAACTTTTCGGGCAACGAGCTTTTTGGATTGATGGTTGAAGACATCGTCCAGCCAGACCGTTTCTACTCCTTGTGTGAATCACTACCCACTCCAAAACTTGCCACTTATGCAGCCTCTGCTCTGCTGCGACTTTCCTCAGCAACATGGGGGCAAGTCATTGCTCAAGACATGCCAGCTAATGTGCCAGAAGTGCTAGACAGATTCTCCTCTTTCATGAAGATGCATTGGTCTTTCTTTCGCGGCCGGGTAGCAACATGTCCAGAAGGTCACTCACTCACAGTGGGCACTTTGGGAATGAATTTGATTTGTGACGAGTGCGACATGCAGTGCGATGGGATGCACATGCAGGGATGCCGAAAATGCCACTTTGATCTTTGTCCAGGCTGTGCCACTGCTGTCCGCATGATGTGCAGCCAATTCCCAGTGCCATTGTCCCTGGAGAGCTTCTTTAGAGTTGGTCGATGAGGAAGAATACGCATTGATGGAATTCTTCCTCATCGCAGCATTTTCGATTAGAAAGCTGGTGCAAGCCAGTGCGATGAATGCCATTGCACTTAAAGTCTTGTCCAGCAGGAATCCGTTGGGCCCATCAATCAAGCGTGGAGGATTGAACAGCGGATGTGCTGAGAACTGGATACTCGCTTAGCTTCACGTCAGTATTTTTTTGAATTGTTGTGTGCACCATACGCCTTCTCAGACATTGACTTCCACTAATTGCAACAGAACACAAAATCACGTTGCTGTTTGTCAATTACCCTTTGTAGATTAACATGGTTTCCATGTTGTACTTAGGAGCTTTGCCGGTCAGCTGCCACACTCCTGTGTGTTTGAGTTTGTGGGAACGTTGCTTTTAGCTGGTTTTGGAAAAAGAGTCTCTGCGTCCTTGCAGATTCTGGATGGGAAGCAGAGCAGGATTGGGTTGTTGTCATGACTATTCATCGCAAGCGATCCCAACATATTTACAGTAATGTGCGTTCATGCATTCGATGTTCAGGGTATCTCTTGCGGCAACCATGAGGATGCTGTAGAGGCAACCTTATTGAGGTAGATGTGCATGTTCATGCTAACCTTGCAAGATTGTTTGTATACAGTGTAGTTTGTACGCTCCACATGCGCCCAACAGTGTGTGCCCAGCGCGTGTCTACTTTTGACACTCTTTCAGCACTTGTATACCGTATTATGCCATATTTGCACCATAAAGATTTGGGCTGCGATGTTGTGCACACGAGCATGCCAGGTTTCTGTTGCCAAACCCTTTGTAGAGTCCGCTGCACAGGCCCCGGGTCTTGCTGATGTTGGGAATTAATTCAAGACGATAACATGCTGCCGGACAGTCGTGGACATGTTCAGTGGCAAAACGAGACATGTCCATTCTGAATCTATCCGGAGGCCTATTCACTCCTATTTATTCCCGTAGAACAAACATCCTTAGTGTTGATCCAGTCTTGTGGTGTTGAGATGTAAAGACTTTTCATGTGGGCTGTTGGTGTGTGCTTCTCGCTTTTCAGTGCTTCCGAGTTCCGGTGTTCGGGTTCAAAGCGTTTGACTCCGGCTGTTGGAGAGGTCTATATGGTCTTAGCTTGTGCTTTGATCATGGGTGGGCTTTTCGGGCTCATCTTTGGAGTGATGGATGTGGAGGCCGTCGGCACCGGTGGGGCGTGGCGAAGTGTGGACTGGGGGATGAGTGGGGGGGATGAGCGTGGCAAGTGTGGGTGCCGAGATCATCCCCAGACCACACTTGCTTGTGATTTTGTTTTTCATCCTCTTCTTCTCACTTCCTTTGCCCTTTGTTTACATCATGTTTTTTTTATTCAGATCTTTGCCTTTTACAAGTACAAGTACTGCCTGTGTTTTTTTTGTTGAAAGATTGAGACTTGAGCTTGATGTTGACAGGATGAGGTGAGCTATCAGATCCGATTAGCCCTCCTCCGAGAGGATTGGGTCTTACATGCTTCACATGACTCCAATGATGGGAGGCCGTAGATTATTATTTTAGGGAGCGTAAGCCCTAAAGATGAGGTAGGTAGGAAGTAACTAGAGGTGGCTAGTAGAAGCTAGGGAGTCGCTAGTAGCTTAAGTAGCTACTACCTACTGGAGGCAGGATAGCTCACGCTTTTTCAAGGAAGCTCCCCACGCCGCCCTAAAGGTGCCGGGGGGATAGATGTTTAGGGGAGTTTTAGTCTTCTCACATGTTGTGTTCAGCCGAGAGGAGAGATATTGCTACCCGGTCGGCGCTCTTCTGGGAGGTCTTGCAACTCTGCTGAAAAAATGTTAAGTCAAGACAAAGGCTAAGATGGCTAAGATGGTTTATGGAAACATATGTTTGATCAAGTCTCGCTCCAACCAATTTGATTTTCGCTTCAAGGTTTTTGTGTTTAGACCACAGAAGGGACTTAGCCTTGAGACTCGAAGATTTTAGGAAGCGACATTTTGCCGGTCAGACATCCAAGCTATAGTACCTTTGGAGTCGCGCCAGGATTTACAAGGTGCCCCTTTCTGTGTTTCGTGGGCTTACAATACTTGTATTGAGATAGGTCGAGATGTGCACTAGCTCATCAATTTGAGGTGGGATTCTTCAATGAGTACATCAGAGACCAAGAGGAGTCTTTGACTGTCGGGAAGGAATAGGGCCTCGGAAGGAGACAGGAGATGACAATTCCTCAGCGCCGGTGGTCCACTGTTTTTTGGATCATCAGCAGAGCCGGGCCAGAGACCATCTAATGGATTCTAATGGCATCAGCGAGCTTTTAGGCAATTTTGGGCCACAGGGGAAGGTTGCCAGGTGAACTATGGCCTCAAAGGACAACAATCTGACGATATGGAGAGGAGAAAGACAGAAACGCATGCAGATAGTTCCTTCCATCAACATGTTTTTCATGTTGGCATCCCACTCCCAAACTGTTCCAAACCCTAGTAGTTTTGGAAACACCTGCTGCTCAGGAACATCCATTTAGGGTTACTTGTCATTATATACTTGCATGTGCGTCTCGCAAGCTCGACGAATTGCTCAAAAAGAAAGAATCACGTCGCGCAAAGAAGGTTCATTGCAAGTCGCACAACAGGAACAACACATAACAAAACCAGATCGAACGCAGATGTTTGAAGCCCCATGTGACAAGCGGACCAGCTTCAAGGTTCGACTTCCAACACGTACCATGTTTGCCCGTCAGCCAACCATCAGCGACAGGGACTTGCCTTCTATATTCCGTTAAACAATCAGAATAATGACAACATGGCCATATTTAGATCAAAGCTCTGGAATCTTCCAAGTGAACGAAGCCGACCACCATCGTTTGGGGGGGATTGTTTCGACACACATCCAGCAGATGTCCACTTTGCAAGACACTCGTAGAAGTTCTTCAAGTCAAGCTGCTCATGGGCACTGCTTGCACAGTTTGCCGTCGTGAGGGAGACTGTGCCGGCCAATGTTGGAGCCTTTGGATCACACCGCCACGTTCTGCGTAATCGTTTGGTGCGTTGCCACGTCATGCAGAAGGGGAGTAGAACACACAAGTGTCACTTTCATTCACTTTCAATCACGAAGGTAGAGTACTCTGCCGAGTAATTAAGGAGATCATGTCATTCACTTTCCTTTCTGTATCCTTTGGCTTGGCCAACTGCGTTTTGAGGCCAGCTTGATTCCTTTCCACAGCCGACCTTCTTCCAGAGCCACACCCAGCATCGCCTCGAATTCCTGTCGAAGGTTGGGGACGCCCGGCTTTGGGATTCGTGCCAAAGGTTCCATTTCTTGCATTCAAGTTTTTCAAGTGGGAAAATACATTCTGGTGGGAATGTTGCTGTCCAAGTCCATTCATCATGTGACCTGATACTGTCAGACATGATCTTTAAAGTTCTTGCAGGCCACCCTTGAACACCAGGCACTTTGCGGGTATCATTAGACTGGGAAGATCCCCAGACCAATCCGTTTTCGTCGTTCCTTTTCGGTGTAACACACAAACATCTGCTGGGTTATATATACTGAGATGCAGGTAAAGCTATTTCAGCGGCTCCCAGAAGATCAGCACAACCTTTTGGCCTCGGCATCTTTGGCTGAACAGAGCACCTCACGGCCCAGACTCCTTCTGCCATCTTTGCACGATAAACGACTGCCAAGGGGCTAGCTGCACTAGCAGTGGACATATGAAATGTGTTTTTTCTAAAAAGAAGCTGCTCACCTTGTGGTGAGGTGTCTAAATTATTTGCACGGAGCCAGACATGAGTATTCTAAGGCTTGTGAGGAGATCACTTACGAGGATGGTGAGGTGGGCAGACACCAACACGTAAAGTTGCTTTTGATGGAAAGTCAGGCAATCTTTGTTCCGGCTCGTTTCTGCGCATACTGGTAGCTTCTTGTTACTAGTGAGGTGCCTTGCTACTAGCTTCTTGTTATTCACAAAGATTTGAGACTGCTACTGATCGACTTGGCCTAATCCGGAGCCTCCACAAACTGCGATTGAAAACACATGTTCTACGGTGGGCATGATTTTCTACGCTGTTTTTTAATTCCTTACAGTTCAGAGGTTTATTGAGGTGTTTCAGCATATTTCAAGACAGAGATTGAAAGTTCTTCAGCAAGCACGCAGCAACAACTTTGCGTGCTGCAGCAACCTTGTCATGATCCATCTCTCAATCTACGAGAATAACTTCATGCAGGCTATTCTTGCGTTTTCCTGTGTTTTTAGTTTGGGTATAACTCTGTCCACGTTGCACCACCGAGTTTGGTCACGTCCATGTTGCTAGCTATAGTCTCCCTTTTCTGCACGGCCATGCACGGCGGAGCCAGCTGTTGAAGCTGCTTGCCAGGTGATTATCCGGCAAGGGGACCAAGGCCATGAGTTCTTCATCATCAAAGATGGTGAAGCCGAAGTCTTCATTTCCCAGAAGAAGCAGGCGCGGAGGGGTCGAGGTTCGGAAGGGCGCGTGGCGTTGGGGTCCAACTTGCGACCCTTGGGTCGATAGTTTGGCCAATCGTTTTTTCTGCTCGGGAGGACAAAGGTTGTGTTGTTTTTATCCAGGAGCTTGGAGCAACTTGTGGCAACCCTTGCAAAGTGTAGCAGATCCATTGATCCATGCTCACTTCCAACTGAATCGCGCTTGCGGAGTTTCTGCTACGACCTACATCATACAAGTAGAACTACAAGTTTACCGGGGTGGAAGATGGTGGAAGCTTCTCCACTTCTCCACCAGAATTTTACTGTCAACTGTCAACTACGAACAACAAGAGTCTAAAGGGGCGTGTACTGTAGTAGTCACATAGAAAGCTCCGAACTGCACTCTGGCTTGGTGATTTTGGGGTTTGCATGATCTCCATTGCTCCTTTTGTCAAGGCCACCCTCAAGGTGGGTGACCACTTTGGTGAGAATGCTCTTTTGCGTGACGAGCCCGGTCGCCAAGTGGCTTGTTTCTGCATGACCACTCAGACCGGTCGTCAATAAAACGTTGCATTGTGACATTCGCACAGACTGGCCTGGGGCCTGGTCGTGTGACAAATCTTGTGGTAGAAGTTTGAATCAAGCGAACTGAATATAATAAGAGTCACGACTGACAATGCAGGGAAGCATGGTTGTCCACAAAGGCCTGCATGGTCTACCGCGGAAAAATGTGTCCATTCATATTCCGCAACCAACTGAATTGTTTTCGCCCCAACTGGATCGATATGTTGAATGCCATGCTTGTGGATCAGACCATCCGATGCCGTGCTTGCATTTGCGACCATCAAGGCCCCGCACTGCGACCATCAAGGCTGCTGGCAGATTAAAGGTGCGGTTACGTGAATCATTGAATCCCCACTCAGCGGATGGTGGACCTGACTAGTTTGGATAAAGTTGAGAGTTTGGATAATGTGTTTGGATGAATAATTGAATATTATGAATGTAGACACAGTAACTGGATGTAACTGGTACCCACTGTTTCCTTGGTCACAAGTCAGCGGAAACAATCTTGCCTTCAATAAGATGGAGCAATAGATTGCATAGAGTCGGAAAGCTCCGCTAGTATTGAGGCTGGAAATCATGAATTCTGGTATCCAGTTTACAAGTAGCATTGATGTACATGGCATCGCGGGTTTGGTGCAAGGTGTTAGTTACATTTTCTTGTGTGAGGGTGTGGACAGGAGGTTAATTAGTGTACTACGAGGTGACCCACAACTACCCACAGTCGAAGGTAGCTCGCATTAATAAGTGAGCATATCTTTTCCATTCACACAACCATCCTTATTGGCTTGGCGAAGGTTGTCCACTGACATGCTTGGCAAAGGAAACCGAAACTAATTCGCCCACTCGGAACGATTGCCTGCGACTCGCCTGCGACGATTCTTTTTCGCCGAAGGCCTTGAAGATCACCCGGGCGCAGTTCGTAGAGCTGGGGCTCAGGCCAGTGTGAACCGTGATCTAGAACTTCATGGGCAATTGATGGCAATTGAAATCATTACATCTTAAATCAAGAGCTAGAAGTTGTTTCTGGCTGTTGCTTCCTTTTGTTTGCATTTGCATGCTCTTCATTTTTTCGTCACTGTACTCAACCGACCTTCCCTGCGACAGCGTTGTAGCATTTTTTAGCCAACGATTTGACGGAAGGAACAGATGGATACTTGAGCGTGATTCTGTCAACAAGATTGGGTCACTGCGCCAAATTGGGACAGGGACTGAGGGATCAGTCACGAGTCGACTAAGGGAAAAGTTGGACTTCCCGCAGCGCAAAGCCGTCGGTGGGATGGTTCACAACATCGAGGTGAAGGAGCTGGATTCTTCAAGCTGGTTAGCTGAAAGCAAGAAGGGGACCACCACGGCTGGTTGCATCGTTTCAGCATGTTACACCATGTTACACAGCTTCAAAACGAATCAGAACTCAGTAACATATTCAACTCGTCCACACTGTTCTTCTCAGATCAGTCGATTTGGGTGTGCCCTGTGCGGCTGAATGCTGCTCAAGGAGCCAACGCCAAAGACCGAGAGTGATAGAATCTGGTCTGGAATGAATCAGAATGAGACCGGCTGACAAGAACCTTCTCCAACAAGACATCATACAATCCTGTCATTTCCTTCCGGATTGTTGGATGCTCCGGGATATCAAGTGCAATTGACTTGCTGAAGCCTGACAAGCTTGGTTTTGACTACATTGCTAGCTAAGTGGGCTCGCCGCTTGCCAGGTTGTAATCTTGCCAGCTGGTGTGCTCACCATTGGGCACTTTAAGCTGGGCATATGTACTCGTACCGTCTCGTACCAACATCCTAAGGTAGGTAGGTGTTGACATAGCTAGGTAGCTAAGTTTGCACGGATTCAATATTAAGCAGGCTAAAAGTTTGCTACATGTGACAGAGTTTTCCAGCTTGTTGTTATGATCGTTTGACATTGAAACCGAGGAATATTGATTTCCAACGCGTTGAAAGCCAACGAGAATTTGCAAAGCAGCTTGGCCAATGAATCTGTGTTCAAGAGGTTTAATAGGTAGTACATGTACCATCTAGACTGGCGAGCGGTCACATTGAACCTTGGTTATTGGTGCGCAAGTCGATCAAACAAGAATCCAGAGTGAGGCAAACACAAAGTCCTTTGATGCTGGAAAGCAGAGGATTGTGTTTTGGTGGGCACAATATGGCTCATGAGGTGTTGTTGATTTGGACATTCCGCGGATCAAAGCGATCTGCGACATTGCATGGCGAGAGGAGAGCTTGTTTTGCCGGCATAACATCCAAGCTTGGTTTTGAAAGTCAAATTGACAACGGTAGGTACGCAGCAAGGCTGCAGCAGGATCAATGCTGGTATGTTGTTTTTAGAAGATTGTGGCGCATGTTTCATGTTGCTTCTTGTATAAAGCTGACTCCTCTTCTTCATTGGTTGATTTTGCAGAAGTGCTGGAGAGGATAGGATGTAAAACTACGGAGTAGCTTCAGAAAATGATACTCGCATAGCCATGCACTTCCATGATCTTGCACGTCTCTTCGTGAGAGACATGGCATAGCCAGCACAGTGGTGTAGCCCTTGGAGTCCTTGCGTCGCTGCTTTTGGACCTGGTCTGTAACTTACAGCGCCGTGCTATGCTAGCTATGACTCCTACTTTGCACAGCGTAATTTTGCCAAAACAAGAACAAGAGAATGTGAGCAGGAAAGCTGCACAGAGAACACCCTGAAGACTGACCTGCATGGGGGTCGGAGCTGCTTCCTTGTCCTTGTGGGCGAAGCTTTAGCTGGCTCGTTCATTCGCAAGATTCGCTAGACAAGAACAACACATGTATAACTGTATAACAAGATGCTGTATAAGTAGTTTTGACCTGCATCATGTAGTTCTCACGCGGATAGCTTATTATGATGCCTTGGCCACAGCGAGAGCTCTCGTGCTATGGCACCGCAAACGCCTGGATACACTCCTACTATCTCCCACTTGAGAATAGTGTGTATTTTCTTGCTGAGTCACTTTGGCTGCTAAAATTGCGCGGCCACGCGCCTTTAGAATTGCTTGAAAGCAAGAGTTTTGCAATAGCAGTTGACCAAGTCATTCGAGAATCAATCAAGGAAGTTAAATGATACTCAATGATCAAGAGGAGCTTTGGAGGCTACACAAAAGTTGATGTTTGTTCAATTCAATAGAGACTGTATGTTATTTCATAACCTTTGGTGTCAGGACGTGGCAAAGGACACCAAGTTGATTTCAGAGGGCGATCTCAACGCGGATTACTTTTATATAGTTCAGTCAGGCGTTGTTCCGAAAATCATCAGAGTCAGACACATGTTGAACCTCGGTGTGGCCAGAAGGAAGACGGATTGTTTGAGAATTCTGAAACAATCAGCAAGCCTCAGGGCATTGGTCCAGTCGCGGAGATGTGTTGGGATCTTTGAGAGGCAGTTTTAATGTCTTCATGGGCGACACCTCCATGGCAGAGGCCAGGGTGCGCAGTGCCACACAGTGCAGCATGGCGATTACATGCGACTAGTGCACAGTTCTTCACAGTTTGTCCCAACGAAAACAGAGAACCCAAGTCAAGAAGTAAACCTTCTTTTCAAACAATTGAAGACTCAGGTCGATGATTTGTTTTGGGCTGGGTTTGGTCTCAGGCCGCATGCCTGCCAGGTCTATTTTCTGGTTTGCTGTCCTAGCTCCTGTTGAAACAATCCTGATTGATTGGCTATCCACCGACAACACCGCTCACAGCTTCATGGCGTTTGATGGCTGCCCATGTTCCTATCCTAGAGAGAAACAAATTATCAGCCAGCCTCACCTTGTTACTGTGAAGGCCCAATTGCTAGGAGCTGTGCGCTTCATTTGGAGGGGTTTTGCACAAGAAGCACCCGAGGCACCCAGGTTGAGGGGCAAATTGACCACTGATTTGGGTGTCGTTGATGCTATTCTCCCCAAACCCGGGCGTTGCTTTTCTCAAGCGGGTCATGTCCGAGGCCGAGGGAATATTTCTTGACTTCCCTCAGCTGGTCTTGACTTGCCTCGAGAGACTCAAATGGTTTGCAAAGAGTTAACCATTTGGTTCATCGTTGGTTTCTTTTCGGAGGGCAAACATTGGCTTATCGATAGCTTGTCCACAAAAAACCTTGGCATCGCTCATCGATCTATACGTCAAGCTGAGTCAAGCTTCACGTTGCCAGGGCAAAGCAGCAAAGCCTGTGACCTCGAAGTCCAGTTGCAGTTGGGCGCACCGCTGGACATCGCTAGTAGGTTGGAGGCCATCGCTAGTAGGTCCGTCGGTGTACTCCGACGAAGAGAGAGCGCTTTGATCATCGACGGTGATGTGCATCGACTTCGCCACCCAAGGATTGGTCCTGGTGGCAGCTTTGGAGAGTTGGCCTTGTTGTACTTTGCGCCTCGAGCTGCCACGGTTCAGGCCGAAGGTTTGGTGAAGTCGCTGTTCAACTAGCAATGGCCTCTAACGTAAGAGCCATGGCCTGCGACCTAATTAGTAATAGTAGCAATGGCCTCTTCACTTGGGAGAAAGATTGCTAAAACTTGCTAAGACCCGTTGCTTTGGGGGTCCCGGGTCCCTTTTCGACTGCACACCAGTTGGGAACGAATTTCATTCATGCTGGCTTCATGCCAGGCTGCCGACGATTCCAAAGTTTGGGTCATCGATCGAGGCGAGAAGACAGCCGATGATGATTGGAAGCTTTTTGAGATACTTGAATCACTTGTGCCGGCGTCGTGCGATAGTCCTTTCTTTCTCAATATCATTTCAGAAAATGTTGCCCGTACTGCTAGTGTTAGCTGGGTTTACCACTTGATCATCCCCGAGGCTCTCAATTATTACTCATCGTGACTCATCGTTCCATGTGACTTGTTAAGTGGGAAGTTTAACCAGTTTGACGGTCATGAAGTGTTTTTGTTTGTTGTTTGTTTTGAGTGGTCCGCAGGTAACTTCAAAAAGATAATGGCTAAGTCTTCCGATGAGCGTGAAGCAGAGTATCTCAAGTACTTGGAGAAGGCATGGCTTCATGTGCTTTTCTCATTGCCATATAATATCTCAACAGTTTGGTTGCTTCTTGCACTGAACAGGCTTTGCGTAGACGAGTGAACATTGGCAATCTCAAGCGACCAACTGCACAGGTTGACATTCTGTCTCCGCTCAAAAAGGAAGAGAAAGCAGCTCTTGCAAAATGTTTAACAGAGCCTTGCATGCAGAGTTCAACACTAGGAGCAAGGACGCTACTAGTAGCTCCTGGCCTTACCACGTAACCAGAAGCTACTAGTAACAAAGGGCATCGCTACGAACGGAGCAAGGACGCTACTAGGAACAAGAAGCTACTAGTTGCTCCTGGCATCGCTACTAGGAACCCGGGCATCGCTACTAGGAGCATTCTTTCTACTAGGAGCAAGGACGCTACTAGTAGTGTTCCATGCATAGCTGCATGTTTTACAGAGTTCTTCGGTCGACGGAACGATCCGAAGCCTGGACTCTTTGTTTCGATGCTTTGGACGTCGGCAGCCTGGTTGCAGTAGGACTACTGTACAGCTGTCCCGTGTTTTGTGATCAAAGCACAAGTGCAGAAGAGACATTTCAATGTGGTTTGTTTGAGACCACAACGCTTCACCTGGAATCGAAACAAAATCCTCGGCTGAAAGGAACCCATCAGGTGGTCTGGAGAATACTTGCAAACCAAGGAGTTTACCTTTGTGAAGGGAGACATTATTTTTCAGCAAGGAGACACAGGCGCGAAGCCTGGCTTTGCCAAGGGTCGTTGAATCGTCAAGGGCTCTTTGGAACTGTTAGTCATTCCCTTTCCAAGCATCAGCTCACGCCTCAACTTGTGACGACCGTTACTTGGGCACTCTGTTCAAAAAGCATCAAAAAGCGAGGTTGTATGTTAATAAGATCAAAGGAAATTTAGGGTGCAAAACTTCCGTGTTACGGACTTTAGTCAGCTCTAGCTCTAGTTAGCTCTAGTTCCACTTAGCTCTCTAGCTCTAGCTCTAGTCAGCTTTAGGTCCAGTCAGCTCTAGCTTTAGTTAGCTCTAACTCCAGTTGGCTTTAGCTCTGGTTCGCTTTAGCTCCAGGTGGATCTCGCTCTAGTTAGCTCTAGCTCCACTCTTCAACATGCATTTTGGAAGGAAGTCTCGTACAAAATGCATCAAAATGTTTTTTGAGAGATAGCGGATTCGGATCATGCTCGAATCGTCCCTCCATTGTAACTAGAGTTTTCACCTGTTTCTTGTGTTGCTGTTGATGGAATTCCATTGCGTGTTGCAACTCCTGGATGGTTTCCGCACTGTAAATGTGACTGCAAGTGTTGCTGGTGGATGAGTTGCCGCTGGAATTTCATTGTGTTTTGCAACTTCAGGATCGTTCCCGCAATGTAAGTGGCACTTTCATGTTTGGATCACGTCTCCCAGTTACATTTTTGAGGAAGCCTCGCAGAGTTGCTTCGTTTTGCAGGTCTTCAACATGCATTTTGGAAGGAAGTCTCGTACAAAATGCGTTTTTGAGAGATAGCGGATGCACGCAATGTTGTGTTTTTCCATACAAAGCATGGCTCCGAACCTGGCAAGTCAAGCTCTGCGGAACGACGGTTGCCGGATGGTCTCGCGTCATGCTCGGATCGTGCTCGGATCATGCATCGGCTGTGCTCTTGGACTTCGGTGCGTTGCTGTGAACCACCGATGAAAAGCAAAAGAAGAAGCCACTGCATGCACAGTGCCAGAGCGAGTACGCCGTTGTGGGCTGCTTGCATGACGCCATCGTTGCGGGCCGGAAAGAAGGGGGTCCGCAGGGCATGTGCGAAGGGACACTCCGGATGCAGAACTATAAGTCAAGTTGTTCTTATAGGAAACTTCCGCCGCCGGCTTGCCCGGGAACTGCATCCTCCTTAGCTGCTATAGTCATAGGAAAGTACACGCCGGCTAAGCCCTTAGCTGCTCCTCCTTATGTCCATACAACGATAATAGTCATATAAGTCCAGGTGCCGAGCTGTTGTGGTAAGAGGCCATAGCAGGAGGGTGCTTTTTGCAGGTCTATAGAAGCTTTTCACAGTGATGAGCACAAGCAGCTCCAACCCTAAAGCAATGTTTGAAGACTTTCTCAATCACAGCAATGTCTAAGCATTTGCCAGGAAATGAAGGGTATGAAATGGAGAACGGACCATCCCCTGTTGGTTTACTGCAACGATGTTCACACCCAATGAACCAGGCTTCTTGTTTCAGCTTGCCTCAATTTGTTCAAACAATGTGTTTTGAGGGCAATTGTTGCGTGCAAGGCCACAGGGGCCACACCTAACGTTGCTCATCATCCATCGTTCTGTGGAACTTCAGGTGACGCGTTCTACCTCCTGGTAGATGGCACTGTGGAGTTGCTTAAGGAGAATGAATCACAGAGAGTGCTCGAGCAGGTGGTCAGAGTTGTGGCATAAAACTTCCATGCCCAAGTTGCTGCTGTGGCACAATGAGGTCCTGTAAGGAATATTTTGTTCTTGCAAAACATTTCTATATTTGCTGAGTCTGGGTGCCCAACCTGAAGACCTCCTTTCGAGGACGACAAGGCTTTTCAGCGACAACAAGGCGTTCCCGACAAGGTGCATCCACATGTTTTAAATTTTGCCTAAGCAGGGGAGAAGTGCGCCAGAAGTCACAGTTTGACGGTAATTGACAGGCACATACACAGATACATTATCCTCCCATACATCCTGTCCTGAATCAGAAACCATGCAAAATTCCCTACTGTACTACATTCAATTGTACTAGTGGAAATTAAGTATCCGCTACTACTAGAAACCAGACTACATGCTTCTTTATGTTCTTTGGGACTTTAGACCTGTCTTCTTTACTGTTGTGTTGTGTCTTCTTTTTCGTCTTATTTTTCTCCTTCTCCTGCTCCTTCTCCTTTTGCTCCTCCTTCTTCTTCTTCTTCTTCTTTTTCTTCTTCTTCTTCGTTCTATGTAGACCTGTCATGACCTGTCATTTTCTCCTCCAAATGGAACTTATTAAACAATAGCCACACTCTAAAACAATGAGATTTGCACCACAAGTCCAGGCAAAATGGTTCGGGGAGCGAGCACTTCTCAAGAACGAGCCAAGGGCAGCCACTGTGAAAGTTGTCTCCACATCAGTTCCTTGCTAGATTTGGTTTCAGTTGTGTTCGTCCGTTCTGTTGCGGCCTTTCAAGTTGTTTGAATTATATAATTCTAGCTGCCAGAACACTTTGGGCACATGTTGAACGCAGCATGAGAATGAAAGACGTTTCACTTTGAGCCCATTGGACAAGCTCGGCCGAACTCCATGCGCCCAGGTCAGAACTCTCATGGTGGACAAGCAGTCCTTCGACATGCTCTTGGGGCCCTTGGAGGAGTATGCACCTAGTTTCTGCAATGCATGTGCTCTGCGATGTTGCAGCGGAAGCAAGAACCCCCGGCACACACCGCAACCAGAATTGCGTTCATCAGGGTTTGCACAAGCAATGTTTGACAGCTTTGGAAAGGAGTGACATGTCAGATTGATGTGTCCAAAGTAAAATTTCCCCCTGTCAGAGTGACGATGACGATGCTGCTGCAGGAGCTCAAGAAACGTGGAAAGAGTGGACCAGGGTCGAAACTTCAGGCACTTGGGGCGGTATTGATGACCTAATTGAAGGTTGTCGTGAACGTCATTCTCGATTGCTGAGCAATCCTCTAGCTTGCTTTGGCATGCTTGATGACTTTTATGGTTGACTTACTGTAAGTCTTTTGAGTTATCAGTTACCAGATGTTTTGTGTTTTCCTCATTGTGACTCAGTGTGTCGATTTGTTTGAGACAGCATCGCTGGCTGCAGGATGGTAAGAATGATGCGACAGAACTGGATCTCAGCCGATTTGGGAAGATTAAGCGGAAGGACGCAGCGGAAATCTCTCGCTTGCCACACCTCAGGTGAGGTGGTGAATTGGTGCCACCCTTGACAAGTCTTCTTGCAATACCATGCTAATATAATGATGATAGACGCTTCAATCGAAACTGACAATCGCGGTGTTACTCGATGAGCATCATTTATGCAGCCATCCTTGGTGACATGTTATACTCAGATCGTCCCGGGTTGTCTCTAGATTTCGTCTGACTTCCAAGGGGAGAACGAGAGAGAAACAGCAGAAAAGCTAGCTGCTAGCTGAGTTGTGTCCAGCTGTAAGCGTGGAGGATCTGAAAGTCCTGGGACTCCTTGGCTGTGGAGGCTTTGGTGCTGTAGAGTTGGTGGAGCACCAGACCACCAACGAGACCTATGCATTGAAAGTACCTTAGTTCCTTTATGTTTCTTTTGGCGTTGAAGAAGCAAGAATGGCCAGCACACATTTAAGGTTTTGCCTTGCCACCCTCCCCAGCCTGTGGTTTCATTGTGGCCCACTGTGAACCGTATTTTATGAATGTTAACCTATTTTATGAAGATTTCACCTAGTTTATGAAATTTCACCTATGTTATGAAATGTCACCTATTTTATGATAGTTCACCTATTATGAAAATTAACCTATGTTATTGAAATTTCACATATGTTATGTAAAGTGTACATATTTATGACATTTCACATATTTTATGTAAATTTCACATATTAAATGAAATTTCTCCTATGTTATTGAATGTTCACCTATTTATGAAAATTCACCTAATTCACCTATTTTATGTAAATTGCACCTAGTTTATGCAAATTCACTTATTTTATAAAATTTCACATGTTTTTTTTTAAATGTAAAGTTCACCTATTTTATGAACTTTTACATTTTTTAAATGAATATTCACCTATTTTATGAACATTTCACCTATTTTTTAGAATGTTCACTTATTTTATGAACATTCACTACTTTATGTAAGTTTCACATATTTTATGACAATTCACCAATTTTATGAAAATTTACATATTTTAGAAAAAATTCACCACACTGTCACCGAGGCATTGAGTAAAGGCTTTCTTGTAAAGTCTGGGATGCAGCAAAGTGTGATGAGTGGCTTGGCTTCGAGGAAATCACAATTAATATATAGGCGGCAGTATGGTACAGTAGCCCGGGCTTGGAACAGCAGGCGAAAAGAATGTGCAGCTGATGTGCGACTCCACCTTCATTGTCAAGGTCTTTGAGACCTTCAATAGCTCCTTGGCCTTTCTTTGTAGCTCCAAACTCGAGTTCAATCATGTGTGCAGTTGACTCTGGCAAGCGTGATGCTCGTTCCCCATTTGTGGCGCTGTTCAGCATGGCAAAAAACAAGACCTCGACTGGGCCAAGGTGACACCCAGCTGTTCTTTCTATTAGAGTTGGCCCTAGGAGGTGAGCTTTATGCCAGGCTCTCAGCTTGGGCCTTCTGGTTTGAAGACCTGTCAGACCGAAGCTGTGCCTTTCGCAACAAGGCCACTTACCATAAGAAGGGCCTCTTTGGCAAGGAAGGCCAAAGAACCTCAGCATGAATAGCCACCACAAGAAGAGTCCTGAAGCTGATCTGCGGCTGTGCAATAATATCTTTTTCTGCAGTCAAGCAGCATTGGGTTCCGTTCATGAGACTGATTGTTAGGTTATCATTGGCAAGACGTTTACAACTTGCCATTTGGCTGCAGAAATAGATTGGCAAACTTGCTCCTTTCATCCGAAAGTGCTGGGAGTCACTTAGCCAGCCGGGCCACGGCAGGGACACGCATTCGCTAACATAGGAAACTATTGTTGTAGGCAAGAGCCCATGACTGAACGTCATAGCCCATTGTTGCGTAACAAAGAACAACCCGTCCAAGACTCCAAAGACCAATTCTTGCTTGCAAGTGGCCCAAATGCTCCAGGAGCTGGAGCAGAAGAGCTTCAAAAACAACGCCTGCCCATCTAATAAAATCTACTACCCATCTCCCTTTTCTTTTTGTAAACGCCTCAAAAAGAGAACTGTTTTTGCATCATGGACACCATATTAGCAATTGAAAACAGGGCACTCCAATAAGTTGTAGTAAGCACTCGGCTTCTCAACTCTTGGTGGATTCTGCACTCCAGTATGTGGACGATTCATTACGAAGAGGTTGGTGGAACTCCAAGGTGGCACCCCCGACTACTTTGCCCCAGAGCTGATTGCAACTTGGACACAAAATACATCGAAATACAATGCCAGTCAGTCAGTCAGTCAGTCAGTCAAGGCTGCTTTTTGTTTTCTCTTTGATGGGCGCGGCTCTAGTGGGGGTTTTGAACAAGAGACTGTTCAATCTGCAAAAATGTTGTTCGTTGAATACATGTACTACTTTGAACAAAGTGCTTTCAACCCACACTGCGAACGAAGGAAGGCCGCGAGAACTCGTCCTATTTTCCTTCCGTGCAACATGGGTAGTTGGAAGGTTGGTTATCGATGCCGCTACCAGATCTAGTAGCTCTGATCAAAGATATAAAATTCAGATCCAAATAGAAAAATGAAATCCAGACCCCGGCAATCAAATCATCTTTACATGAAAAACGTCTCAGACGTCTTTTCAAACTGACTCTCTTCAGTAACTGCTGTCAGCGGAGCTGAACGGCTGGCAGCACCTATCAAAAAAAAGGCAGTCTGAATAGACGGCTAGGGGAAGTTCTTCGCTGCGAGAACTTCGATCGAAGCGGCACCGCAGGTGGACCATCGTGTCACATCAACCTCCAGGGATCTTGGTGCAAGGCAAAATAAAAAGAGCTCTTTTGCAAAAAGCCGATCTATCACTGACTGAAAATCATGATGGCGCAATCTCGGCCATGGGTGGAGCATCAGGCACCACCCCCACTCAAATCTGTGATCAAGATCAAGGGGGAGTGGTGGGTGGGTTCAAAAACAGGAGCTCGATCTTGAGCCAAAATGGCACGAGCGTGCCACTGGCTCATCCTGAACTTTCTAATACACTGAACAGTGTGAAGTTGACCGGTCCTCTGAAATTGACCTGCGTATCCCTAACCAACCAAACCGTCGATAAGCCGACATATATAGTATATATGATTATACTATATATATAGTAATATCAATATTTAATATTGCTTGAGTTGTTATGTCTCACAAAGGGCTGTTGTGACTGTGACTGTTATGTCTTTTTTGGTGATGAACTGAGATGTGAGCGCTGTGGTTTTCACTTTGCAACAAGCCTTCCAGTCATAGCCAAAGAAAGGAAGGAAAACGGCAAAAGTACACCGCCAAAGGAACTACAGTAGTCCAGAGTCTAGAGTAGTTGTGCAAACGTTGTTTCTTGTTCCTTCAGGTTTCAAGGCTTGGCGGGAATCCAGATGAACGAATCAAGTTCAAAGAAGCGGTGTTCCTCAGTGTAAAAGAGTTGACTTTCCTGCAAATGTCTAGTTTTTCACCAAAGTGTTCTCCAAAAGCTCTCATTATCAATTGAGAAGTCGACTGCCTAAGAAACTTCTTTCTGTGTGAAACATCATCCTTGAAAGGGTTCTCACCCCGTATATTTTATATTTAGGTGTAAATATATGGGTATTTAACATCGTGCAAGATTAACTTCTACATACAGTATAACTATATTTGATAGGCATCGACAAAAACAAAGTTTCTTCCCTTGTCATGAATCTAGCCTTGTGCAAAAGCATCCCAATAGGACCCTTTGTCATTCGTGAGCAGTGTATCCTCCCTTATCCAACATCTTCCTTATCACCCAAGTCTCCTCCTTTCAAGAGTTCGCTTTTTTGCTGTCTTTGCTACCGTTGCATCATCCTCAAGCGCTGTTTCGAGCGCAAGCTGCGCAATTCTTCCTTGTGTCAAGTCTTCCTCTCATCAGGTCAGGCTCTCCTTCATTGGAAGAGTGTGCTTCTCAGTTGTAGCCTCACATTTCATGTAAGTGTCCCGTTTTGTCTAGATTATATAAAGATACCATAATCTATCCAAACTTCTTCCTCATTGAAAGGTCTCATCACTTGAGAAGTCCACTTCCCCAAGAATCGGCTTCTTCCTTTCTGGATACAACACATCGAATTTGATATCATACATTTGTACGGGGTCAATCATTGTAAGAATATCAATATCTTATTAGTATACGGTAACCTGTCTTATCATTAAAATACTTGTTTGTTATTTTATTCAATTATATAAGTCAAGTGTTATTGCGTGCCCATTTGAAACACATGCCATCACTCATAGAAGTTGCATTGTTGAAAAAGCACCGCACCTTATTCGGGAACCTCCTCACTTATATAATCCTCTTCCTTTGTCCAACCCTTTCAATCGAAGAGTTTGTCCATCTAAGAAAAAGAGTTTGCGTTTGAAGGTCTCCTTTTTTATAAGGATCCCACCCTTAACACGGTTTCTCTATATGAAATCCACCGGAAAACCTCGCCCGTTGTAATCAAACACCTGCCTTCAAAAGTTAGAGGAATGCTTGCAATGGTGTTTTGTGGTTCTTCTTAGTCCTGAACCACAATTCTTCTTGGAATGAAACTATCGTAGTTGAATCGTTTGTTGATGGACAATCCTTGCAATATGTTGTAAGAGTATCATTATCATGTTTCATGACATGTATCCTGTTTATACAAACATAGTGGCAAAGCAGCCTTCCTGTTTGTAAGTCCTACCCTACTCCTCCGTTATATAGACTCCAAACAGGTGTTTCCAGCTGTCATTCCTACATTGCTTTGGTTCTGACTATACATGATATCCTCAAGATTAATGATTATATATTATGGTTACATAATATATTATTGTAAATCACACTCGCAACACGCCCTTCTCTTACTCATATTGCAAAGATTTAGTTTCCTTACTCGTTTGTCAAGAAACGTGGTAATGTCTGTCTATGTTTTCCATTCTTTTCGCAGTCTTTTAGTCTTGTCCAGGCCTCTGCGGGCCACACCTTAGCAGTGGACTGGTGGACTTTGGGAATCCTCACTTATGAGCTCATGTGCGGGACGCTTGGCTCACTTGGGACGCGATTGGGCCATCGGCGTGGGTGGAACGCAGCTTTCCGTCATTGGCCATCGGGGTTTTGGTACGGGAATCGGGATCTTTGGGTTTTGGTACGCACCAAACTTATGGATTGTTCTGAATGACTGTTGTTGACTTGGCCAGGAACCCACCCTTCGAGTCAGATCAGCCCATGCAGACCTACCAGAAGGCCAGCAGCTCCCTCGCAAGGGAGTCCAGAAGTCATAGTAGCCCAATTTCGGAGGTCAGTCGGATTCCTCCTACTGAATCCTGACCAGTCAGTGTTCACGAAAGTGCTCCTCAGAGTCCCCCTTGGTGCAAGGTGAAGCGTGGGATAGACAAGGCTGGGAGATGTGCAAAGTCGAGTCAAGTAGCTTTCGGCTCTCCGCAGCTGCCGAAGCACGAGACAAAAAGAGATTTGAACAGCAGCACAGCAGTTTCGGGATTCTGGAGAGAGGGAAACATTCAGGTGCTTGGACCCTCCAATTAAGGATCTTTTAAGGGACCCTGGGACCCTTTTTCAAAGGGGGGCATTTGAGACACTTTTGGCTCTGGAAGTGATTCTCACTTCTCACACTGGCATAAACTCAAATGTGTAGATTTGATGATCATTGATGCTTTTGTGGACAGCAGGTGCTCTTTCCACCAAAGTGCCGAGGCTTGGGGGTTGCGTAATTGTCCATCCCAGAGGAGATCACGCGACATATCAATACATATCAAACATAGTCAAAAGTGATCAAGGCTAAAGTAAACTACAGTATATAAGTTTTTTAATGAGACGGAAGTTCTGCGATTTTGCAAACTTGCCAACCACCTACCTGCTGGAGGATGCATCCTTTCTATTCTCTTGACGGCTCAAAGCGGGCCGGTACTTTCTGAAAGAAACATAGAGCATGTTTGAGCAGGATGAAACAGCTGGCCGCTAGTGATGGTGAGTTTGGGGCGTTTGAAGGAGCTGGAGAACATTCCACGTTCTGGGAACCATCGTGGGGACGACATCCCTGAGCACATCCACTTGTGGAGGTGCTGCAGAGGACTTGGTCAAAAAGCTTTGCAGGCAAGACCCATCTCAGCGGCTTCCCATGAAGATGCCCAGCCTGCAAGAAGTGAATGTCTCCAGCGATCCTGATGGAATCAGCCCCCAAGCCAATGTCATAATGTTTTACAAGCAATGGTGAATGTCCACTTTTTCTGTTCCGAGGACAGGACAGGTGAAGAATTGGAATTGGGTAGGATCAGCTTTCCAGTATTTTCCCCATAGGTGCGAGCAGAATTTCCACTTTGGCCGCAGCTGAGGAGCGGAGGGATAACGAAGATCAAAGAACACAGTTGGTACGAGGCTGTTGGGCATACAAACGTGCTGAAGCCATGGTGTTCTTTGCTTCACAGCTTATTTTTTGTGTGAGGATGTTGGATTTGGGATCGTTTGCACCGAAAGCGAGAGCCAAAAGTTGGACAGTGTTGGTTGATACTGCAATAATCACAATACATGTTTGATAAGTTTGGACTTTTGAGAACAGACATTGGGCCTGAGTCACATAATAAGCAAAGAAGACCCAAAAGAGATGCAAGGCTAACTAGAAGATCCTAGAAGTGCACGGAAAGAGAAGTAGACCAGACCAAACAAGGTGATTTCTTTATGAACACATGACATGGCTGTGTGCATCACTGCAGAAGATGATTGGAGCAGACAAGATCATGAAAGCAGGCAAACTCGAATCATGACCGAGTCTCTCAAAGCTCTCAAAAGGGTCTACTAGTAACAAAGGCATCGCTAGTAGTAGCTTCTTGCTACTAGTAGCGATGCCCTTGTTACTAGCAGCTTCTTGCTACTAGTAGTAATGCACGTGTTACTAGTAGCGATGCACTTGTTCCTAGTAGCGAAAAGGGTCTCTCAAAAGACCGATGACCGAGCTTTGAGACGGAGGTCCCAGTTCCGCGCATGTTTCTTGACATGCCATTCGTTTGCACAGGGCTTCAACTGGGAAGACTTCGAAGCCTTGAAAATGGAGACACCGTACCAGCCAGCAGCAACATGGCAACAAAGACGAGACAGGAAACAGGTTCGATTTCGCCTGCAAATCTCTTGAATATGTCTAGAAGACAACTTCAATCAACTTCAGACAGTGAAGAATCTTTGTTGTTGTGTGAAGTCAATTCCAAACTGTTTCGACTCGGTTCCTTGCTTTGGCTATGGAGGCCACGAGGTCCGCCCTGATGGCCAGGTGAAAAGCAAGACGGACATCGCTAACTTTTCTGCAAGAGATGCTGACCGACCGCCGCAGGCGTTGATACAAACGAATGGTGAAGGATGGTACTGATGGCCTCCAACCTACTAGCGTGAAGGATGATCCTGCAATCAAAGCAAATTACGGATGGGGTGAGCTGGGCGTCATGAATTACTATCCATCAGTACCACGGAGATTTGTCAATCTGTTGGAATCATGATACTGTAGCATATTGTGATTGTCATATGTCTGTGGAATCTTAATATTAGTATATCTTAGTGAATCTGTTCACTGTTCAATGAACCCTCCGACGTGGAACACTCACGCACTGATAGCCACTTTTGCCCTCCCTTTGCAGGTGCCATACAAGGACCCGATGAGCTTCCGTAAATAGCGGTGTTTTTCTTGTTTGTGAAGGAGTTTCCACTGCTTTTAGATTCAGATGCTTTTAAGCTATTCTGGTGTGCCATTTGTTGCAATGAAGAGTGTTTAAAACACAGTTGGAATAGACAGCCTCCCCTTTTGTCTCCCAAAAACTGGACCTGGCCAGGACGACAAATCGGGTTGGGACAAAGGCTTCGCAACCAGCGAGTGATGGCTGAGAGCTTTGAGAGAGGCAGCATTTGGAACAATCAAAAGTTGGAACAGGTTTCTGCACCAAGCTTTTGACAGGTCTTCAACTTAGAAGCGAGGGCCTCCAACCTAATAGCTTTTGACAGGTATCCACCTTCGCTGACAAAGAACGTTCAATGTTTCTTTGCTAGTACTTCTTTCGCTCAGACCGCCGCCAAAGGTACAGCTTGCATATGTTTGCGTTGCCTGGGTGGTGTTACTGAACTGGATGGAGCAGCCAAAATGTAACCGCACATGTGCCACCGAATCGATGTTACAACTTACAACGACCAAGTCGCAGGCGGCCTTTGCTGATAGAACTGCTGTTGGTCCAGTCTTTGGTGGTGAGTTGATGTTGTTTCAGTATCGTGCTTGCTTTGGTGAGACTGAATTCTTATATAAAACATGGATCAAATTATGGCACTCCAACCAATGTACAGTAGGATAATGCTCCTGCTCTTTGACCACCAAGTGGTTCAAGGTGCGTTGGACCCTCAAGATCCATCGGGTCTAAAAAAGGTACTTCCTGATCATTCCTGCCTTTTGTGCAATTTCTTGTCCATCAAACCAGAATGACATAGTGAAATGCAAAATTGAAACATGACATATGTTCAGCTTGGATTGGAATGGCATCCTATCGCATTATTCAATGATCATTTTTTGTACTTGATTCATTATATGTATGTGTTTATTTTTTGCAGGAGAATTTCGCACCTTCATTGAATGGCTTCGACGAAGATATTTAAAGAATTCAAAAAAAAAATATATTTCTATATATTTCTATGAAATAGAAAATTGTTATTGTTATTAATATTATTAACTATAAATATAAATTAATATATATATATGATAATATAATATAAGATAACAATACATATATAAATATGAAAATATAATTTATAAATAATTATGGAAAATATTATATATAATATTTATTAATTATATAACAATGAATATTGAAATAATAAATTAAAATATAGAATTATATATATATGGATATTATAATTTTTAAATATCATTTTTAGATTAAGAAATGCGTAGTCGTTTATGAGGATTAGGTAATTTATTATTTGGTGGTATTCTTATCGGTTTTGAAATATAATTTTATAGATTATTATTTTTGTTGCGTTTATTTTATTGAAATTGGTTGATTTGGAAAATCCGATTTTAATTTCGAGAGATATGATGGTAGATATTATATTATTTAATAATATATAAATTCATGGTATAAAGAAAATTATTCTTTTTAGATTTTCTATTTGTACCTTCTAAAGCCTTAACGATGGTTGGTGAAGTTTGGCTACGGTTATATGATATAATTTGTTCGAATTCATAATCGAGGATTTTATTACATACAGAGGCAATTTTTTTAAATTGTTTTATTTTATATCTTCTTGAAGCTGGAAAGGACGAAATAAGATGTGCTACGACAGATCGCACAAACTATCATCTATGGATGTTATGGTTTTCGAACCGAATTGAAGATGTTATATTGATACAAGAATTTGGCTGGCAGATGAATAAATAATGGATTACATATAAATGATATTGTATGCATTCTTATGATGCATCAATTAGCTTATTGTTGATGGTTAAGAGGAAATTCCTTCGGCCATCCTTGTTGGCATATACAATTTTGATTCCAAATCATTTGATTTACCTAAGATTTATGTTGAGCCGCATCCATGATGGGTTTGCTGTCTATTAAATTGCTTGGAATATCACCAAATCCTTGATTGGTTTGCTCAAAATGAGGTAGGATCTATGGCACCGATTGGGACAGGGCATTTCGCACACGCCTAGAAGTCACATGTTGGTCATTGCAGGAAATTTCAATTGTCCCTTGCAATTTGAGAGAATTCATATTGGCAATCATGATCCTCGGTTTGCTGCTGCTTTACAAATTGACAAACAAACATTCCAACAACTTGTTGTTGATTTGGATCAGATTGCGGTTCATTATAGAAATAAATATACCCCGATCTTTCTCCATGATACCCATCGATCTAGGATTGATTTCATCTTTTTGAGGGCTTTTCAACTTCAATGGAGACATCTCCAACCAATTGTTATTGTCATTTTGAACGCATTGGCCTTCATCAAGGCGCCCAGCATCGACCCTTGCTGCTAGGGTTGCCTCGTTGGCACGCAGTTCGAAAGCCTCCCTGCAACCACAAATCTCTCGACCGCCATCGTATGCGCCAGGAAATGATCCATGGTACACCACGTTGGATTGCTTTTGCAGAAGATATCCATAGTTGTGTCCTCAGACATCAGAACCAGATACAGGAGGATCCCCTAAGTAATTGTTTTTCCATGGAAGCGGACATTCGTGAGCTTTGTATTGTTCATTTCCCGGGCAGCAAATCCACCCAATAGAAAGACCACACTACCCGTTCACTCACTGCCCAAATGTGGTATGCTAAACGACAACTTCGCATGATGTGTCTTGTGACTGTCAAAATCATGTTTCATTGCTGGCACAATAGCACAGTGTTTGAACGTCTCCATAAACAGATTCGTAAGCTTGGTCGACGCAACAAAAAGATGAAATTGGATGCTTTTCTCAAAGACAATGTCACCAATGCACTGACCAACAGGATGCATGACTGGTATCGCAACATTCGTAAGCTGTGCCCTAAGCAGCCGTATCGGAAGATTCAGATATTTGATGAATATGGAGCTCCACTCATGCCCCATCAAGAACTCAGATCATTGGTGCATCACTTTCGCACGCTCTTCATTGATGACACTTTTGAATTACAACCAAGTGCTTTGACTGCACTGCCGTTCACTCAGGCCGACTTGGAAGCAGGTCTTGAGCCCCTGCCAGTGACCCGGGCCTTGGGACCGGACGGATTCCCGGCGCTTGTTTGGAAATACTTTGCATCGGATATTGCCACAGTGGTCTATCCAGCCATTCACCAGGCTTGGGTATTGCAACAGGGCATTCCTCCTGAAGGTTGGTCCACTCGATGGTTGCATTTGCTTAGTAAACCCCACAAGACCCCGAATAATCCGACGGCACTGCGTCCCATATGTCTTCAGCACCCTATTAATAGAGTCACGACTGGTTTACACTGCACACAGATTATGAAGGCCGCTTTCCCCAGACTCAGATCTGTACCCCTGTATGCATACCTACCAGATCGTGGCACCAAGGATTGCTTGTTGATTGTCTCTGACCACTGTCGGGAGGTTAAGTCCCTGTGTCAAAAGCATCACAGAGACTCTGCGGCCAACGGCTTATGGGGTGGGATTCAAGTGTCCCTTGACCTGGAGAAGTATTCGATGCCATTGATCGTCAGCTGGTCATTCGTGCCCTTACACTTTATGACCTTGACCCTGATCTTCGTAAGCTAGTCCACTCCTGGCTTCAAAAACATCAATATTGCATCCCACACAACGAGCTTCTTGGCATATTCACTGCATCGCGTGGTATCAAGCAGGGGTCCAAAGATGCCCCAATGCTATGGACCTTGAGCATATACTTGGTCATTCACGACCTCTTGGCCCATCATGACATGTCTTGTATTGTCTCACACATTATCATCTATGCTGATGACATTCATCTGAGATGGACCATCCATAGCCTGTCCATGAGATTTGAATGTCTACATGAATTGGCCTTTGTCCTGTCCACGCTCAAGGCATATCACTTTCGAATGAACTTGACCAAAAGTGTTACCATCATGCGCCTTGTGGGAAAGTCCACTCAGAAAAGATGGACGACAAGATCAAAAGAAGGGCCCAGGTTGACTTTGCCTGATACGAACATGACATTGCCTCTAGTTGGTAAAACAGACTATTTAGGTATTGTCTTGAGCTACCGAGCATTCGATCATGACACGGTTCAGCGTTGCATCCATGCAGCCAATGTCTGTTCTCGGATTTTGAGGAAGTGGCTCTTAGATCGACATCATCCGTTTCATGTCAGGATTCGACTCTACAATCATTGTGTTCTGCCAACAGTGTCGTACGGAATACATGAAATTGGTATCACTAGGCGGAGATTTTAGAGCATTACTGGCATGATTCATAAACTTCACCGAACCATGGCCAGATCTCCAGTGCATCTCACTAGGGAGCCAACTATGGCGTTTTACGCCCGTATGCAATTGGAACCTCCATGGCACTTCCTTGACAGACAACAGAAACATTTGATTGAGTCCTTCCAATCCCGCCGGGCCACTCTGATGAGTGACGTCACGCGGACTGATCCCATGGACGTTTGTGTCTACAGGACAGCATCGTGCCTATTGCTGCCAGACCTTCTTTGAGAATGCATCTCCGCAACAAATCCATACCGTGTTTGCTCCTGGACAAGCCGTTGATCAGTGAGCTGGCGCGCCACTGTGCCTACTGCCATCAGGCACTTCCGGCTCGATCGATTCGCAAGCATTATGGTGAACAACATCAGGGTCTTCTTGCTTTCGAAGCGGTCCACAGGGATATTGTTTATGGTTTAGCAAACCTGGGTAGCGGTCGTGGCACCTCATTTTTAGTGAGCAGAAGAGCAATGACATTCGTCAGCACCAATGTGGCGTGCTACTGCAGATCAGCACGTTGTTGGGCCAAACATACGATGCATCGCACTTTCCGATCATGCCCACCATGATTCGTCCCTGGGATCCGGACTCCGAAGCCGTGGACACAGGTGGCCAAGATCCACCCCAGCCGACTCCGGGGTCTTCCGAGACCTTGCACCACATGCCCCTAACTTCGAGCTTGCTGATTCGACCGCTGCACCAAAGCCAACTCCATTGTTTCGATGTCAAGCCTGCCATACCACATTCCTGACCGAAACAGGATTGATTGCACACCATGGCAAATTTCCTCAGCGTGGCTCCAATGAACGCTCTGAGGTTTCTGGTGTTCTTCCTTCGACCCGTCCGGAGCACAGAATTCCCAGAATCACGGTGAAGCACATGCTTGCCTGTCGACCAGACGGTCCATGTCCAATTCCGGCTCGGATGTACACCT